AACACTTTTTTACTGTGAGAGTGGTCAAATGCTGGAACAGGTTGTCCAGAGATTGTGAATTCTCCATCTTTGTAGGTATTCAAAAGCCATCTGGACATGGTCCTGCTCTTGCTGATTCTGCTTGAGCAGCAGATAGGGGTGAGGGGGTGGACTAGATGATCTCAAGAGGTCTGTTCCAACATAAATGATCCTGTCACCACAGGGAGCCCATTCTCACGAGTCTGGCAAGTGAAATCCAGAGAGAAAAGGTGCCTTGCTCCCTTCTGGATCAGCTCCAAATCCATCACATAGAGTTAACCAGATCATCAAGGAAAAACTTTGGAATTGCACTTCTTCTGGGCCTGGCACCAGGGCACAGGCATTAATCAAGCAAACTAACACGGTTTTCTCACAGTCCCAAAGTTCCAGCAAGTGAACTGGTATAACCTTGGCAACCTGAAGGAAATAGGCTGGGGAAAAGCAGGGTAATTATACCCCTAGAAACAGCTGTGTTCAGTGAGTGGAGCATGGTGAATGTTCTACAGGAAGATGACCCAGCGCTCTCCCTTCTGAAGAAAGAGGCGCACAATGCCCTAGAGAAAGCTCATCCTGCTCTCTGTGGTGCTCCTGAGGACTGGTCAGTACTGACACTTGTGCCAGCAGTGCCATGTAGCAACTTCTGCTCATCACAGATGAAAGGTGTGCGGTAGCTGTACACTTTGATCTTTGCCTAGTTGTGCCCCTCCTATAACTATAAATCTGGAATCCCTTATTCCAGTGTTTTCTGGATATTGTTCTGACACAAGCACATCTTGTGCTGGAATTTATAGGAAGCTGTATCCATTTCATTGTTGTCTCAAATTTCAGATCCTATGGAATCAAAATGTCTTTCATGCTGTGTTGTTTACCCCACATGGATCTGAAATCCTGCCCTATCTCCAACTCCGTCCCTCCCAAATACTTTTCAGCTGGCTTAATCTAATAACATTAGGAAATTTTCCACCAGTCTGCTATTTGATAGCTCTGCTGGTGCCTTCTGCTTCTACTCTGCAATCTGTCTGCAACTGTTCTTCCCAGTATTGCACAGAATTTATATGCTAGAGCTGTATTACCTTTCTCAAATACAACGTTGCTGCTTCTCTGCTCATACTGCCTCCAGCCCCCCAGTAAAACTAAGAATTTCAGCAGAAGGCCTGAGTTTCAGGGAGTTTCTTACTGACCTAAAATGCAAGAGTGAACTCCTGCCTGTCACACAGCTCCTCCCTGTTGTTAGCACACAGCTTGAAGGGTGTTCCTTTATTATTGGATGGATGCATTTTTTGCTCCTGATGCCAGTCAGCCCTGGTCTGTCCTTTCACAAGCTCTCAGAGGTCTCTCTCCTCACTGCTCCTGCAGAAAAGATCTTCCAGAATGGCTTTAATAGTTTGCAATTTTTTTCCCCCGATTTCCAGTACAGAGTTGCTGTTGATTTGCTCTGTGCAATGCTTTCTGTAAAGCTCACACAGCTTCTCTCCATTGTGTGTAGGGAAGGCAGGAGAGACATTCCTCCTCAGGCTGCATTTCCTGACCAATCTAAGGGCAATTAGTTTTTCCTCATCCACCAGACTTTTCATTCCCCAGGTACTGCAGTCTGCACACAAGATATTTAAATTCTTTTTTTTCCACTAAAAGTTACCCAAACTGCACGCAATAATGCAAATAAAGCCTCACTAGTACTGCACCAAATCCTTCCGCAGCCACACCAAGACAAGGGAAGTACAAAAATTAACACTTGTGGTGGGAAAATAATGGAAGATTGGCAAGGATAACTGTAAACACACCCAAGAGACTCGCATCTGGGGTGTATAAAAAAACCACAGATATCATACTAATTTTTGTTTAGTCTTGTGTGCTTGACAAGTAAAACATCCGTGCCAAGATACCATAGGCCTGTGATAGACTTAGAGGCACCTTACTGAACATGCTTAAGATTCCTGCCCTGCTGTGGGAGAGAGCAAAGTGCAGTGGAAAACTGCGCCCAAGCAGATCCCTGATAAACAGGGGAGAGCAGTGGGGCCTGAGCCTCCCGGTGCCTGCACCCCCCCAGTGTCTGCATCCCTCTCCCGGTGCCTGCATCACTGCTGCAGTGCCTCTGCCCAGGTGCTGCTTCGAGGATGCCCTGGTTGGCGAGGTAAAGAAAATAAATTTACTCTTTGCATTTAACCTGTGGTTTTGTGGTTGTTCCTGCATCCTGTCTGTGCCAGCCCACACCCTCCAATTCTACCAGAGTAAGGTCTGTTAAGACTTTTTTAAAACTACAGCAGGCTAGCACAACACATGTTCCATAAAGTAATTTGTATGGCTGCTTGCTCTGGGACTCCCTATTGCAGACAAACCGATACTGCTGCAGGAGAATTCCCAGAATGTGGGTTCTATTCTTCTTTAAAAAAACAGGGAACTATTAAAGGTAATTGGGTCCTCCTGGTCCAGCTGCCAGAGAGAGATTTGCCCCAGAGACAAGCAGCTGCTACAGACCATCCCTAGAGAGAAGCTGAGAGAGGAGTAATACAGCAGAGCAGCGATATGCTCATGCGAAGGACCAGAACAGCTCACAGCAGAAGGAATGGTGGTAGAGTAGACCCTTGCAGAGCACAGCCAGGCATGTGCATATTTGGAAAGCTGGGACTGCAGAGTCTGAGCTGTTGTTTTTTGGTGATTCCATTCTCACTGAATAAGCAAAGGGCAGAACCCACAGCCCGGGTTTACTTGTGAAAAGTAAGACAAGATATAGCACAGAAAGAAAGCAGGAGCACAGAGACCAGATTATAGAAGAGAGGAAGCTGCTGGGATGGGGAGTTTGGGAAACTGGGGTAAGGAGAGATGCTACCAAACAGGCCTGAGCAAGGATGCAAGGGCCCCCAAAGGGGATACAAGTCTCTCACGTTAAGTGTAGCCCCAACAGCATTAGTAACACTTAGCTGTGAGTTGCAGCCCCATTTCCTTGCACTGCAATGATAGAAAGGTCCTCAATTGTACATTACTGTTGCTGGGTTTGTTTTCTAATGTTTCAAGTAGTTAAAGAAATTCACAAAAGTGTCAGAGCTGGCACAAAGGAAGCAGCAGGAGATCACAGCTGGGAACTGGAGAAGCAGAGACTCCTTTCAGCAGCGATGAGACATTTACTGCCTCACTCACCTCAGTGAATACGTGAAGCTGACGATCAGTGCTACCATGGAAAGCAGAGTCACAGCCCCCTTCTCTCTCTTCCCCCTCCCTCCCCACCCCCCTTCCTCTGCTCACGCATCTACAATGGTTTTGTAGCAAGGACTGAAGAACTCATGGGTCATGGTTTTTGCCTCACCCTGTTCATTCTGAAGGCAAGCAGTTCTCTCCTTTCTGAACCAGAATAAACCAAAAGCCAAAAATGTTTGGGGGTTACAGAGCCCTACAAGGAATCAAGTAAATCAAGTATTTATTCAGAGTCAAAAAACTCCCTTCACATTTGGTACCTATAGCATTAAGTGAAGGCAGCATCGGTGCTGCTGGGATGCTCAGAGCTGGCCACAGCAGCACTGGGGATACAGAGCACACAGCATGGGTAACTGGATACAGACACAGGAAGAGTGGCGTGAACAAATGCTCCTCTTTAGCCAATTCTTGAGACAGCACTTTAGTATCAGTCTCTATTATTTATACAGAACTTGTCTGTGGATTTTTAATCGTTAAATTTTAATAAAATAATGCCAACTTAGGGAGTAAGTCTTTAGTGGAATGACTTGCCAAATAAATTAAAAAACAGCCTTATCTTTTCTGTAGGGTGGTATGTCCCGCCAGAAGGAGCAGTATTGCTGCCAACTGCCAGGTGAGACAGGGCAGTGCCCCTCTGGCCGGCACCGTTCTCCTTTCCTGGAGGAAGCTCTAGCAGTTCAGGGAAGCCAGCCATGGCACAACCCTCCTGTGGTGCATCCTGACTAATCCCTCACCTACTTCCTTCCCTACAATCATAAATCTTAAACGACATTTTCAAAGAGCAACAGCTCTCTTATCCCACCCTCACCCCCTTCATGCTCACGTGGGCAGAGGGACAAAAATTGGGGGAGCATGGCTTTAGGGAGTCAGGAGAACAGAAGGGCTCAAGGGCACCCACCTTGAGCTCTAGGAGAGAGGGAGAACAGGTTTTGGGCCAAAGGCAAAGTGGTTTCACTTACGCCTCCCTTGCCTCCGAGGCACAACCAATAAACATGCTGCTTTCCTATAAAATCCACACAGCTGAAGACAATAATTAAAAATGGGAGCAACATGCCACGATTATGAACTTGCACCTATGTTTTCTCAGGTATCTGCTGTTTACAGCAAGAATCCCTTCTTAAGAAGTCAACCCGATGGTGTTCCTTTACTGTGGAACAAAATGTGTCTCCTGTATGTGTGAAGGCAAGAAGCTGGAAACGTTACATCTTGGCTGCAAGGCAAGTTCATGCAGCACTTGGAAGGAACAATGATGGCCTCGATGACATGAAAACATAGTAAAAATTCTTAACTTCAGACCTTTGCCCTTTTGTGGCCTCCCTCCCACTCCCCACCCCTGCCAGGCAATTAGAAAGATGAGATAAATAAGCCCCAAAAGAAATCAGGATGCGGATTCAAGCTGTAGAGTTTGGACAGTGTAACACCTATTACCTTGCTGGGATGGTGCTGCTGCAGGTGATAAAGAAGTGGAGTTCAAAGACTGAAACTCACTGTTGGTATCTGGCAGACAGAGACAATGCCTGCCTCTTTATCTGGTCCTGCAGTATATTCAAGCCTTTGGAAACAGCAGTAATTTAAGTAACAGCAGCAGCCTACACAACAGGATCTATAAAATATTTGAGAGATGTAATTTGTAACAGCTTGCCCTGTGTGGAGTGGTGATGACTTCCATGCTCTCAGTGACTCTTATTTGGGAAGAGCAGAATACTTCAAGTTTCACACGACTTTCACGGTATTACAGAACTACAACTGTCACAAAATTCATGCTTAATATGCAAAGCTGTTTATACAAGTGGCAGGATTAATTTTTTTAATAGGAAAGCTGAACAACTTTAATACACAACTTAAACACAGTAGGATGGTATAAAGGTAATCTATCATTTTATAGAGGTCTTTGGTGGCAAGTTTGCAGCAGAGCTTATACGAACAGTATATAAAAAATTACAAATATACAAACTCATTCAGAGTAATAGTTTTAAAATGAACCATAATTTGGGAGCTTGACAGAAGGCAGTAGGAAGCTATGCCCCAAAGGGAGAGGCAAGGCTGCACCACTGTGTATTTTATTTTGTTCATCAGTCATACTACAAGAACACACGGTACCTCCAGCCAACCTGCATCCAAATTGCTGCTTTTGACAGTGAATGAGAAGCAAACCCATTCCCACATTCCTGTCAGAACAAGGAGATGGACACACCGTGAATTACAGCGGAGAAGATGGACATTTGAAATAAGCCTTCGTTCACGTGGCAATTTATCCAGCAGTCAGGCAAACTCGGGTAAAGTTTTTATCTTTTATGTGGAAAAGCTTCACTTACACCAGGCAGAAACTCTTTTGTTCCTTATTTCTGGACAACTTACGTGGCCCCAGAATCTTTTAAATTATAAAAAGTATTAATTCACAAACTCCATGAAGTTGTTCACTGGGAATCAGCGATCAAGGCTTCCTATTGAGCAGAAAATAATTGGTGCTGACTCCAAGGGGCAACAACAGGAAATAAACTTTCTTCAATTTGTTTTCTTTAAGTACAATCAAACCTGAATATCGGTCAAGTGTAAAAAGAAAGGGAACAATATGATCAGGGACTTAAAGTGAAATCTTATCCACATGCAAATCTTAATACGTGCAAAATACGGCAGGGGCAATGGGGGGAGTGTGGGGGTGTGAGAAGCTCAGATCTGCAGTTGCAGCTGTACCATTGGCAGCATTTCTAAATGGAATAATGTCTCTATTCTCCAAGAACGTCAAGTATTCATCAGAGGAAGGTCTAGTGAATGATGTATGAATGAAGTCTAAAAGAATAAATGCAAACTTTTCTGAAAAGTACATAAAAGACACGTAAAAAGATCACACTGAACTGTTCCCCCAGTTAAACAGATTTCCACCTGTCAGCTAAGCAACTGTCAACTAAACCAATGAAAATGGAAAGCAAGAAGTCTGTGTTTAGATGCCGTCAGGCTTGCAAAGACAGTGTAAGTTTTCCAAAGCTACTATAAAAAAAAGTATCTGCAAGATTACATTATTTGCAACATACCACCTTAAATACCTCATTTACCAAAAGCTTTATCTACATCATAAAGCATCACCTTGGAAATAAACCCCATTTTTAACTTATAGAATCATTCAGGTGGAAAAGACCCTTGGGATCATCGAGTCAAACCATCAACGCTACTCTACAAAGTTCTCCCCTACACCATATCCCCCAACACTGCATCTAAACGAGTCTTAAACTTTTAAATTTTCTTCCAGTTTATGGCTTCTGTAACAAGACAACTTCAGGTGCTTGCACAGAGTAGATTTTCATCAGTCTCCACTCATGGATGGAACTGGCAGTCAGTGTCAGACATGATGCAATTGTCTCAGAAACATACAGATTTGTTACCTTCAAAGAGGCCTCAGCAAGCCTGAGGAGTCACCACAAAATTGTCTCCTACCTTTTAAGCCTCAAGATACTTGCTTTGGTAGAATCCATTTCTCTCTGCTATTCCCCATGTAGAAAGTTCTTTACTAGTCTCTCATGACTCAGCTAATTTATCACATAAGTATCAGGTTTGCATTTAATGATTTCCATTTTCCTGACTGTACTTGCAGCATTTGAAGTTGTAGGAAGCCATCAATTACATCATAACTCCTTTTAAAAAAGATCTGGCACATTTTTAGGACTACACAAAGCAAAAGCTTGGATGTTGCCTTTGTCTCCTCACTTCTCTGCTCTGTGGCACACATGTACTCTCCATCTTATTTCATTCCTACATTCTTGTCTAATTTCTCTCATTCAAAGTAAGTATTTTAAATGCTCGAGTTCTTTAATACTGTCATATTTGAAGATCTGGTTATCTAGTGGAAATACAGCTGCTTGACCCAAAACTGAAGAGTCAAAACCTTAATGAATTTACTATTCATGCTGTCCAGTTTTGTTTCTCTTGGCATTGAAGCGGACAGACTGCTTTGTGTGATTCTCAAAAAACCCAGTAGTGTACTGGTATCTCTCAAGGCACATTATCTGAAACAGCCATCATGTTTATTAAGTTTGCAGTTAATCTCTTTTCCTGTTTTGAGTCTTGTTTGAACATGACACAAGCTCGACATTAAAAAGTAGACTTTTTCTTTTTTTAAAGAGACAAAAATCACTTTGGAACACACTTCAGGTGCTTGACCCCGTGGCAGTATTTAACTTTTTGACCTTAACTTACTTCCATTTTTAAAAGCTAGTGAGAATATTCACGCACGATATTCCTTTCATTGCAAGAAGCTTAGAGCTTAGAGAAAGGAAATGGCAGAAGAGAAGTAATAAACTACTTCTCCTGCTCGGCGTATGACTTTTAATCTAACTTTTATTTTAATGATGCCCAAATAACTTTTATAAGTGTAGTATGAAGATGCCATTTTTGCCTAGTTTTGGTCATAACCATTCTCCAGATAGTTTTTTAGATAGCTGCCTTCATTCCTGCACCTAGCCGATATTCATGGTTTGTTTTAAACAACATTTCCCAAAGTTTTCTCCATTTCCTTTCTACTGCTACTTTTCAGATCACACTATAAAACACCAAACAGTCCAACAAAACCCAAGCCAAAACAAAACCCTTCTTATTCAGTGAATAAGAAGCTGTGATTGCTGCTTGCTCATTAGCATCTTCATGGAGATTGGGAAATCCCACCTACAGGGGAAACAGATCCTGGGCCTCCAGAAATAGAACAAGGAACAAGACACAGAAGAACAAGAAATAGATCTTAAAATATTAGATTACTCCTCTGGTGAATCTTACAGCTAGGTTTTATTAATTATCCAAAAAGCTAACTAGGGAACCCAAAATGTGCACCCATACTTTAGTGTCACACAGCTCTCTTGGAAGTCTGGTGACGCTCTTCAAACACTTATGCTGTACCTTCCCTGTCAGAAGCCTCTTCTTCCTGTAAAGGGAAAGGTAACTAGGCCTTTCTCATCTCTAAGTGGCAAGTGTTTTCTGCCTGTACTAACTAATTCTTTCAAGTCTGAAAAAAGCACAGAGAATATTATAAAATAAAATGTAATACTTTACTTTTCTGTATCTATATTGTTTCAGTCTGATAAATTATCTACAAATGCATAAAACTTAAGCAACATTGTCCAATGCACTCAGAATGGTCCCAAATTCAGTTACAAGTAAAGCACATTAAAGATTTACTGTAAAGTAAACAAATGGGTGAAAAACTGTAATTTATTGAAACTCATAACTCAAAAAATATAAGATGCTGTAGTGTACAATATGTTACACAAAGCACCCTAGGGTGCACATTCAAGTCAAGTAATAACTCCATCGCCCCCCAAACCCTGGTACCCTAGTACTGGTTCCATATACAATCATGCACATTTACTCTTCAAGAGGAAGCCCCCAGTATTCGATGTATTAAATAGCACCAAAATCAGCATAGTCCATTGAAAAAAAATTGGGGAGCTAAATTAACTTGGCCAATACTTTTGACAGCTATTATACATTCATGGAATTAAACAGTCTAAACTAATCTAAACAGTGTGTACTGTAACAATTATTGTTCTAATTTGAAGTTCTCCCCATATAGCAGTAGTGGAGGCGATCTGCTCTAAGCAAAACTACTTACGTACTTCCTACACAAAGCTCATCTCCCTTTTTTGTGGGAAATAAGTCTATGAGGGGTGTAGAAAACTTGGATCTTTCAAGAACAACTACTGGTCTTAAGTAATGAAGCTGTTTTAAGGCAAGGTCTCCACAGCCCGTTAGTGCCTTGTCCAAGATTGCCCTCAAATTTTCTAATGAAGGGGCAGATGATGACTCTGACAACAAGGGCTGGATTTCTGTTAGTTGCCTGTGATTATTTTGGGGTATGATTACATTTTCATCATTTACAAAGTTGTTTACCGGTATATCCCCTTGACTGTCTCCCTCTTTTTGAGAGGTCTTATCTACTGGCAACTGCTCAGGAGACTCCCATTCTACTGCCTCATCAAAATCATCATCATCGTCATCTTTTCCCTCACTTTCCTGAATAAATTTTAGAAATGAAGACTCAAATCCCATCGGTTTGTATGTCTTTAAATCAAAAGGTTTGGACACTGGGGGCTTCTGAATTCTGTCTTTTGTAGCACAGAGTACATTTCTTTTTGCATTTTGATTAACTGCACTACGTTGACATCCTTCTGCATCTTTCTCTCTTGGCAGCTCTAATTGCAAACTGGAGAAATAAGAGCTATTCTCTCTTTCACTATTTTCAGAAAAATCTTCACTTTTATGTGTAACTGACTCCCTGATGTTATGCTCTTCAAAACAGGTGTTCTTTGAACTGTGGTTATATTTTAAAGTGCCTGAATACATAAAGGCACTCGCATCAAAACCCACACTACTCGATGGACATTTTTTTTGGTCTTCATTGCTTACATCTTGAGGGCCACAGTCAGTGTTTGGAACAAGAGGTTTTCCACTTTCCTGCACATTATCAGGATTAGCTGATTTATCCTCTTTAACTTTTACACCTTTTTTATCCAAGTCTGAAGCTGTTTCAGAGCAGGACTGTTTTTCAATCATGATGCCACATTTAACACAAACAACAAGTTTCTGAATCCGTTGCTCTATGTACATATTGGTCATCTGATGTGTGCGCTTATAGTGCCTCACTATGCTGCTTTCCAACTTGACAACAGACAAACATCCCTGAACCATGCACGGGTACTGAGTCTCGTTAGACTTCTCTTTGCACATTTGTAGGGCTTCCTCTTTTGTTTTGAAATTCATCAAATGTTTTTCTCTACTTCTGCTAATTCTTTTAGATTTTTCTTTTAACTGCTTCCCATTCTGCTTGCTTATCTCAAAACTGTCTTTCAAATAACTTTGTTCATTTTTATCTGTATCTTGATTATCTTCCTCCTCTCTCTGATTTCCAAAGAGACTATCATAATATTCACTATGTCGGAAATACACATGTTGAGAGTAGTGACTGTAATTTGTGAAAATTCTATCACAGCCATTAAGGTCACAATGGATTTCAAAATCTTTGTTTAATTTTTCTTCATTGGCGTGTTCTTCTATTAGGTGCTGTTTAAGCTTATTGAAAGTATAAAATACAGCAGGGCAGTGGGGTTGGTTACAAGCAAATCTTGCAGATTCAGCTTCAGAAAGCAGTTTTTGATCCTCTATGTGTTCATTGTGGAAGTCACTACTATGCTTAGCAAGAGCTTTAGAACATAAAAAACGCTTACCACACTCTTTGTATTTGCATGCAAATATTTTTTTACATTTGACTAGTTCCCTTTTTGTTCTTGCTTTGTCTTTTTCTAAGCAGAGCTGTTCCTTATTATACTGGTGAACGGTTCTATAATGGCGAATCAAACCTTTCTGGTTGGTAAATGCTGAGTTGCAACTTTTATGGATACAATGAAATGGTTTGTGGTACTTATGCAATATATAACATAAGTTTCCTTTAGCAACTGTTCTTTTGCTTCCTCTTCCCTGTCTTGCTTCCAGTTCTTCCCTATGACTCTCCAGGGAAGCCAGGTTAGATGTTTTTCTTGTTAGATTATTGTCTATCTCTTCACTGGACTCCAAATCCGTCTCAGAACTGCAGTCTCCCTTTTTAGGATGACAGAGCTGTTCAGAGTGGTCTGAACGTTCAACATACTCCACGTTGGTTGCAGAGACAGGTGTGGGAACAGTGCTATTTTTATGCATGTCATCTGTACATAAACCTGCATGATCAAATCTTTCATTAGAACAAACCTTGTGAGCTGCCCTCTCACAGCCAATTTGATGTTTGTTTCTATAGTGAATTCTCAGGTGTGTTTTTCTTGTAAAAGATCTTTGGCAAATATGACACTTAAACGGTGAGTACCGATGCTGAAACATATTTAACTGAAGAACCATTTCCTTTGAATAGTTATGCTTTCTAACATAATGCATTAGGAGAGCTTCTCTGGTCACAAACTCACATGTGCATCCGTGACATTCACAGAAAAATGGTTTAGCTGCAAGTTGAGTAAGGTACTGGCTGGGTAAACTATCCTGTTGCTCTTGAAGCTGAGATTTTGAGGTAGTTTCTTCTACTGACTCAGGGCAGTTGGCATCCCTAGATGAATAGGACTGTAAAGAGCCCAGAAAAGGCTTGTGTCTTGAAGAATTCTGAATGTTAGAATTTTTTAAGCTTAGGTGTTTCAAGCCTAACATTAATTCCAACATGTTATCTTCAATATTTGATTCTTTAGTACTGTCATAAAAAGATGTTTCTGGGGAAGAAGGACAAGTTTCTTCCTTCAGGCCACTGCTTCCTTTAGCATCTATACTACAATACAAGCTTTCTGGAGAATCAGCATTTGTATCTGAATTATGACCTAATTCTGTACTAATGTCTGTAGGGGATTTACTGTCCTGAGCATCACTCAAAAGATCGAGAAAGTCTTTCGTTTTCATCTCTGTACTTTTTTTACCCTTAAAGTTATATGGATGGGCCCTGCGAAGGTGTTTTTGCATACTTCTGGAATTTTTGTGTATAGAACAGCAGCCTTCAAAACCACAGGATAGTTTTTTGTCATCAAAGCAAACTGGCATATTAGAACCCTGTTGTTTCACATCTGCTGGGAAGACTCCTTCCTGGGACATGAGAAATCCTGGCGCTGATTGATTGTGAGCCATTGTTTCAATCAGTAGGGGAGACACCTGGCCTTGGTTTACTGCCGCATCTGCACTGTGGTCCCCACAATGAAGACTGCAATTACTTTCACTGTCTAGATCTTCACTGTCAGAGAGAGCCTCTTCCTTTATCTGTGGAACTTCCTGAGAGCCTGAAGGATCCAAGTTATCATTCAGATTGGAATTTTCAGATTGTTCAAGCAGCTGAGATTCTGGCAGATAACTGCATTTGTCTTTTGAAACTGACTGTTCAAGTTTTAGCGTTTGCTTCACTTCCCCATTTGAGACTTCAATATTATGCACTGCAAGGTGATTCTGAAATTCAGTTTTTGAATAATAAAACTTTTTGCAACCAAAGAAGTTGCAGGTGTATGATGCATCTCTGAAGTGCTGTGCCTCATGATGGTAGAGTTGCCCTAAATCACTGAAAACAATATTACAGCCATTTAGCTCACATTTATAACGAAGATCGTCATGTGTTTGTTTGTGATTGAGAAGCTCATTAACTGACCCAAACCTAGCGTAACAATCCATTGACACACACATGTACGGCTGAGGTCCACAGTGCACGCGTTCATGCTCTCGCAAATGAAAGGATGTCATGAAGTGTCGGCGACAGAAAGCACACTTCTCTCTCCTGTTTTTCATATCCAAGTAGTGTTTTGCATTCTCATCATTGTTTTGATGTTCAGCTTTCAGATGCACACTTAAGTATTTAAACTGTTTAAATACTCTAGAACAATCTGTTCCGGGACATGGATAGATGTCTCTGTCTTGTAGCTGGCAATTTTCCAGTTGGCTAAATGTGACATATTCTTGTGTGTCATTTTCAAAGTCTTCAGGCAGCTGTGGCTGATGTGACTTTTCCTGAAACGCTGGAGGTGGGCTGCTGGATGCTGTTGTCTTTTGTGGTGATCTCTCTTTCTTCAGTATTATTTTCTTTTTAGGTCTGTGTGTTCTACTAGGTGGCATTTTAACATGTTCCATTACATGTGGTACAAAAAATTCCTTTCTCTTGAACTTTTTTGTACACACTGGACACGTATATACGCCATCTTCCATATGCATCTTAGAATGATGCAGTATTCTAGCCTCTATACACTCCCTTTTGCAGAGCACACAAAAAAATTTGTATTGAAGCCATCTCTGGTATCTTTCTGAAGAACCAATTGGTTTTTTTACTCTTCCTTTTTCTTTTGGGTGGTTTATTATGTCTTTTCCATCATAATATTTATGTTCTTTTGCCTCATCATAATCACTAAAGAAAGTTTCTAACATGTCAGTTTCATTGACTGACATATTACAACTTACATCATCCTCAGAATCAGAAGCTACTTTTCCTAATAGTTTAAGGCAATGTCGCTTTAAAGTCTTCCAGTCCCAAAATTCAGGATCAAATGGCCAATATGCTTTTAAAGCTAACAGCAGCTCACAACGGAGTGAATTTGGAACTAGTGCATTTTCTTCATCAAATTTTTGATCTGGTTGCATATAGAGCTCTTCCAACACGTTAAATCCACTCAAAGTTGGCTCAAGTAAAAATTCTGTGAGCTGACAAGCTCTTCTAACTTCAAGGTCTTCTGGTAAAAGGCATGCAATTGTTTTACATACTGATGTCTTCATTTCATCGCTTCCGTTTGATCTGATCTGAAGGGCTCTCACACATAACAAAACAGACACAGCAAGTCCTGCTTCTTCTGCCTGTTTTGAAAAAAAAACAAACAAAAAACACAAACAGCCACAAATGTTAATTTTCTTTGATAATTACATTCTCTCCAGAACTGTTCTATGAAAAAAACATGCAACGAGCCTCCAATAGACTACAGCCCATTCAGAATGCATTCAGGCTTCTGAGTGTTAAATGCGTAAGTCACTGAGCATAATCAAAAATTGCAGTTTATTTTACATGGGGGATCTCTTCTACTTTTCCAGCGAGGGGAGCCACTGCAAATGTAGCACACTTTGTGGAGGAGACACATGAACTACTTTGGCTCTTAGATGTTGCAGAACATCTTTCTATCTCCTCTCTCTCTTCATTGGGTGACTTTCAATCATCATTAAGTCAGATGTCTAAAAGAGAATGATGTATATCTTCCATATACATTCCTCCTGCAGCAGTCACACAGGATATTAGTTAGGTACTGTGTAATAAGGAAATTAATCTAAATCACACCCTGAAACAAACAACTTTCAACAGCATAAGCAGTACAGTAGCAGAAACGATTCTCAGTAAAGATAACTGGCATTTCACTTCCAAACATTTTCTGAGAAGCCTATGCAACTTTGAGATGCTGCTCAATAGTATCAACAGTATAACTACAAATATTCTTCACATGCTCATTTTTTTAAAATAGCATGTCCCAAATTCTACACGGACATAATTGAAAGCCAGCTTCTTCCAAAAGCATCCTTTTCAGCATAAAGAATCTGAATGCACTAAGTAACTATTTAGTCATCATTAGTAAAGATAGGTAACAGTTAAGATATTGATGAACAGTGTACAGATGACAGTTGGCTCGCACAACCGTGTCAGCTCCGATGGTAAAGATCCAAAAGAACTAGAACCAAGTTAAAAGAAGAGCAAGCTCTTATACTCACTGTGCACTGGCTATTGGAAGTCATGCAACACTTCTTTAATTCAACAACAGTGTTAATTTGCTAGACAGCAATAAAGAAAAGCCATTTCCCCAGGAGAAGACATTTAATGTGCTTTAGCAGGAAACACAGAAAGAACTGGCATATAGTTAACAATATTATGCTTATATATAAAGTGCACATTCACGCAAATTTTAGAAGTTGAAATAGGCCAGTTTTAGAGAAAGTAGGAGCAAACATTTCTCTGTGCAATCGCTACTGGAATTCATCTTTGCCAAATTAGAGTTCTGGACTCTCCTCTATTATCTGTTAAAAGGTCAGTCGGGTAAGCTTATGAAGAACATGCTGTATCTGCCTCCTGGGCAAAGTCTTTCTATTAGTTCTCAAGCAGAGATTACGAGTTTATAAAAATTGCTGTTAAACATCTCTTGAACCTATCTGCAACTTTCTAAAGATAGGCATCAGAATACAAGGTACAAGTCCAGATGTGATTGTATCATGCATTCTGAGAAAAGGTATTGTCTCAGAATACAAAAATATGAGACATTTTAGCCAAGTCTCCATCTCTTAGGGATGCTGCAGAAAATTGTTGCTGTGCCTCACATCTAAGCAGGTATCAGATCAAAACACATCTCTGCTTTGTTTGCAAAATACTGTCACAGTGTATTTGCAGAGTAACAAATGAACTATTCCACACCAACTGAAGGTCACTTCAATGTGTCAAGCTGACACAAGACTACAGTGGCAGGCATTTTTTAGAGATTTTTATTAGTAAATTATTAGCACTTAATCAGACAGTATGAGTAATGTAATAAACTGTACTTCATACCAATTCAGTAGAATTATTAAGACAACAGTAACTTCATGTAAACAGTTCTTGCTGCATCAGAAGACTCTGGGCTGCAGCTTACTTACTTCAGATTGTATGACTCTTATCAAGAAAAATAAATGCTGTAGCGTCTTGGCAATGATGCCAAACTGACGACATCTCTCCAAAAAGGAATCCAAAGAAGGATCTATTCTTCTCTGCAATTTGCTCCAGAAAAGTGTCAGTTCCCTGCAAAGAGTTGAAAGCAGAATGTAAGAACATTGCAAATATACTAAATTTGTCCAGAGTCTACACACTGTAGTTCATAGTTGATACCACAACAATTTAAGTGTTATTAAAAAATAGCACACACTTCAGTCAGGTCTCCATCGCCAAGATGCTGAAGGTACCTTACTCCTAAACAAGCACCAGATCATAACACAGTGTATCTCCTGTTATTTAATGGAGAAAGACACTGGCAATGGCATTCATCTTGCTTAATGTAGGCATCTGTAGCTGCACAGGCCTCCCTTCTAGACAAGAAAAAACCACCCACGCTGCAGAGCCTTAACTTTTTACACAGAATTCTATTTAAAATAGGTAAGAAGAATCATCAGGTAAAGCAGCGACTTCTCTCCCACTAGGGAAGTAGCTGAGATGTTGACAACTGCATTCAAATCATGCAACTGCCACTCAGTGCTTTAAAAGTAGCATTTGAGCACAGATCTGTTTGTTAAGCAATTTATTCTAACTAAGGCAACATAGCTATTGAATGAAGCAATCTGTCACTTTGTGTTGTTTCTCATCACAATGAGTACCATAGAAATGGAAAAGCAGGAGAGGATAGAATCTGTATCCTTTATATCACTTGAAAAAAGTTCTTCTTTTCCTTTAGCAGAGCAAACTTCACCTTTCCTAACTTAACTGCTCCGTGCATCAAATTATACATAGAGGTTTCTAGATGCCAGGTCAGTCATAGACTCAAGAATCAAAAATAAAAAAACCCACATGTAGATAAACCTTACAGTGAATATTGGCAAGGTTTTTACTTTGAATTACTGATAACCTAGAATCATAGAGACTGAAAGATCATCCTCTGCCCTGAGCAGGGACACCTCCCACCAGCCCAGGTTGCTCCAAGCCCCATCCAGGTCCATCCAACCTGGCCTTGAACACCTCCAGGGATGGGGCAGCCACAGCTTCTCTGGGCAACCTGGGCCAGGCTCTCACCACCCTCACAGCAAAGAATTTCTTCCCGATACCTAATCTCAATTTCCCCTCTTTCAGTTTAAAATAGTTCCCCCTCATTCCATTGCTCCCTTCCCTGATCACGAGTCCGTCCCCAGCTTTCCTGGAGCCCCCTTGGGACTGGAAAAGGCTTCCCGGAGCCTTCTCATCTCCAGGCTGAACCCCCCCAATTCTCAGCCTGTCCTCACAGCAGAGGGGCGCTCCAGCCCTTGCATCATTCTAGTCTTGAACCCTAGGCCAAGTGAAAGGAAATGAGACCTCTTACGCACATGACCTGGGACACATCTATTGCACACAAATGGACAATATTTACTGGTAATGATTTTGTTGTTTTTATTTTCTTATGGTTTTTTGTCTGTTTAAAGGCCTAGATATGCAATTAACGGCCTTTCATAGTGAGGAAGAGACAGCTGAGAAGCTAGAGAGGCCTACAAGAAACTAGTATAGATGAAGTATAAGTCACAGTGTTTTAATTTTAAATCCTAAAACAGAAGTAGAGAGGAAAACAAGGCAGACCCACAATATCAGCAACTTTTTCTACTGCCCTTTAGCCCCAAGAAGCTGACAAAATGTAAAATTCAACTGAACATCAGGATGACTAATAGGAAGAATCGCATGAAGGGAAGCTTACACAGGGATACCAGACAGGTATCTATTAATACTTGAAGTAGAAAAAGATCTTAATAGCATATGAGACCACAGAGGAGTTTTTAAGAAGTTGTGCTTAGCATACTTAATGCCTCTTGTGTTAATGGGAAAGATTACATTATTTTATGGAGTGATGAATTGCCTGACTCCATGGAGACTAGCCAGCTCAGAACTACCGCCCAGAGCAGCACTACTTCTTGGGTAAAGTTACAAATACAGCAGATACCTCTGGTTTTAAAAGTAGCATTACACATTATTTTATGATTATCAGCAACAATCGTTGCAAAATATTTCAATTTTGGTGAGGAATAACATACACAACCCTAAGTTTGCTTTCATCTTCAGCTGTGAAATGAAGCTTCACACCAACAGCACTAATTCACATACCATATATATGTGTTTTACTAGTCTTCTCTTTGAGGCTACAGGATAATCTGAGCTAAGCTAACGAAATAGCTTAACCTCTCCAAATATGCAAGAATAATAAGAGAAGGTTTGTGCTGGGTCGGAGAGTTAGTACTGTGCCATCAGGCAGATGCTAGAGCAGTGAATATGAGAGGGAAGGGAGGTAGATTTTTCCCTAGACCAAGAGTGATGTTAACAGCTGAACAGATTTAACAGCTTAAAACTTCCAGAAGCACCAGTGTTGCACTTCTTTGCTGGTACTTGTCTGACCACATGGTAAACTAATCAAGCATTAACCTGTAGAAAGCTGTACATGGTTTTGGATGGGTTAGATAACGTGCTTACTACAGGTCAGGTGGGCCCAGAGCCAGAACAAGAGATGAGGCAGACTTGTGCAGCCAGCACCACGATATGGCAAGAATTTATCTTCCACTTTCTGGCAGCAGCAAGCAGGACTGCGTCAGACAACACTATACTTGCTCACAGGGGCTAACAGAAAATGTTTCAATATACTGCAATGCTAAAAATCAAGGACATGACCCAGAAAATTTGGCAGCAAACTGTTTTATTTAAGGATCCTACAGATAAGTGAAACATTTCCAAGTGCATGTGCTATGGCTTGTCTGTTGAATCAAATACCGTAACAGCACAAAGGGAAGCTGACCAGCAAATGACACTGTACCAGAGGGTTTCTGCTCTTCATACTCCCTGCTCTCCCCTCAAAGATCTTTACTCAATGTTTTTGGCACCACTCAGTTCTGGTCTATCAAATTACATAGTGCACCAGAAGCACACTATGAAAACTGATTAAAGCTTAAATCATTTCTTTATTGACTTGAAACACCATTACGCAGGCTTATGATTAAATACAACAAAAATTTACATTTTTATCATTAACAATCAAAATCCAAAGAGGTGCTAATGACATCACTAGAAAAATTGTAAGTAGAGTCCAAATAATCAGTAGATCAAGCATCACAAAATAAAATAACCTTTCAAATACAGTGCTGTCTTTTTGAACCAGACAGGACTTTCTTTGAAGTGAATTAAGCAATTGCTGTCCCTTAAAACCAGCAGCTGATCACAGATAGCAGTGTGTCTCAGTTTATGTATTCAATTTAACTAAATATTTTAAGTATGTATTTATGCTGTACTTAAGCCCATATAATGGCTAGCAAGCAACCTCTAGCATGATATCTCCACATTAGTTTTAGCTGTAAGATTAAGCTAAATAAGCATATGGCAGTGAATCCATTTTACCATTTCCTGTCCTCCCAGCTGGCCATGACATTTGTCACGCTTTTGACTGAGTTCAATTTACTACTGCAGAGAAAGAACCACCTCATCTCTTTTCCAGGGTACTGACTCAAATCAGCTCTGCAATGATTTCATAGATCACCACGGTTTGTATGGAGCAGAAGCCTCCTCATTTTTGTAAGCCATAATATCCACTACATCTGTAACGTGTAATCTCACACCTAATCAGTAAAGCTGGCTGATCTGACAAATGTAATCTTCTAAGTTTTATGTCATGTCAGCCACTTGAATTCATCTGCCCTGTGGCTAAATAATCTCTAGATCTGTATCTGCCAAAAGGCAGGTAGGCGGAGGTCAATAAAGGCCACTCCATCAAACAGCAGTTGACCGTTAGACCAGCAAGGCACCCTTATTTTCAAGCAACAGTACTCTTTAAACAGACTTGGAGGTACAGCCTCAAAGTGAGAAAGTAACCCGATGGTCGCACCAGTTTCACAAGGAGGAGTTCATCAGAAGGTGAACTTCACTCTGTGTTCCAGCAACCTGGAAGCTTTACTCTTCAGTGTTTACAGACTGCATTGGTTGTGTGCAATGCTTTTGCACAAGGAGTGCCACATACAATACTAGAATACCAACACAATTTCAGTGTTAGACAGAAGACTTCATTCTCCTGTCTTGTCCCTTGGGATAGGCAGCTAGAACTTGAGGGTTTTGTCCAGAAGCAGCAGAGGGGATGACTGTGGCACACATGGACACAGCAGCGCAGTCTGAACCAGCTCCTTTCATTTGAAGAACCACTGACAACAGTGTAGACATGACATGACTTCAGCTGAAGTGACAGAAACCTGCTAACACAAGTATGTAGGAGCATACCTGTGGCTAGACCACGCTAACACTTGTATCTTCAAGCTTTCACTGCTGTCACCTCGGCTGGCCAATCCTAAAGCTGACATGGGAGTACCCACTCAGGTCACAGCTGCCCCATATTTTCTGCAGCCTTAGGCCCCATCATGGGCCAGACTGGCACAGAGAGGAGAAATCTACAGCTCTAATTGTTCTCTCCCAGCTCATTAGTCAGGAGAAAACATAGACAGAGTTACAGGACCTGCAAGTTTCATTCAAATTCTAACTAGTTTCAGTGGAGACACTGTACTGCAAGCAGAAAAACTACCCACAACTGTTGTCCCTAAAAAGAGATGCTATTCTGTAACAATAAATGCTACATCACTGAACTCTGTTTTTCAGTCCCAATACTCTCAGCTACACATGAAGTCCAGTTCTCTTCATTTGCACCCTAGGGACACAGCTTTTAGACTGAACTGCTTAACAGCAAATCATTTAGTTCGCCCTGTTACTTGCTGTTGAGGGGCTGTTTGGTTTGTGGGTTTTTTTTTTTCCCCTTTAAAAAGAGATTATAGGACGGACTTTATTTTCATATCTGTTTGGACATGGCTCTAATCTTATCTCTAATGACACATTTCAGTAGCAAAAACCACTCAGCCTCTAGAACTTCCAAGTGTGGTGGACTCTCCCTTTCTGAGTCTTCCACAAGTTCATGTCTCTCTACAAGGAATGCTTTTGCTTAAAAAGACGTTTCTGGCCTGAAACAGAATTGATATGAAAATACTTCTGGCCTTTTTGTATGTATGTATGTATGATTGGACCATGCTAAACTATCAATCATCCTGTTGACACTTAAGTGCTATGAAAACTTTGCTTTACGGCTTACAAATCTGGAGTGAATAAACGAACAATGCCAGTTAACCAAACCCAAATTCCCAAGATACACTCAGATGTCTGGCAATGTAAAGCTTTATCCAGATCAGTGTTTAAACAGAAGAAAACTACACATTTAGGCATGCGTCAGAAGTCACAATTTGGCCAAGATCTAGTATTATAATTCTCAGAGTTACATAAATTACAAAGACTGTCTGGGGTTGGGGTTGCACATTCTTACTACTTATATCTCTGTGGAAGAAGCAAAAAAAGGCAAACTCTCATGAGTCTAAGTATTCAAGAGGGAAGAACTGAATTACAACACTCTTTGTGGAACCACAAAGGTTAGGGGCTTGACATCAACCCATACACCACTGATCCAGCACTACTTACAAAGCTCACGTATTATTGAAGCACTGCTGTTAATGCTGTTTTGTTTTTAAATGATTTAAAAATTATTAACTGCTCTGTTATTGTAGCAAGATAAATCCTTATTTATTTTGTCACAAGTTATCTACAAAGTACTTCAGCCTGATGTACTTCTCAAGTTAAAAATATATCCACTTTAGCTACATATTTTTGTACTACATTATCTCAGTTCTCTTGTGCTGAAGGCAGTGAGGAATGACTGGGAGTACCAGTAACACTTATTACTTACCAAGAGCAATACACGTTAGCTGTTTGAAGCTGATGAGTAAGGTATGTTGTACAAAGAATAAACGCGGTGTTTTCTTGTCCTTCAGATTCCAGATTACATATAATGTCCAGTACTTCTTTGCAATCCACCTTTGCAATCTTTAAGAAGAAAATTAAAAGAAAAGACACTTTATTCTCAGCCTGTTTACAGAAGAAATGCATGTTTACTGTATCAAAGGAAATAGTCTCTCGAACACATGAACAGAACACTATGTCTCATTTTAATACCCAGAGATCATACCACATCTTTCAGCTACAGAACAGCATGAGAAGTTCAGGTATGTTACTTTTGATCCCTTCTCAGTATTAATTTTCTTTGGGACCATCTTCCATTAGCTTTAGGGCAGCTTTAGCAAAATACTTACGTACAGGGAACAATCTAAAACTTCCTGGTCCTCTGCACTTGCAGACATCCCTGTTTTCCTTTTGAAAATTAAAACCCAAGTCCAAAAAGGTCAAGAGATGTGAAGCGTCAGTCTCTTGTCCTCTTTGTCCATAAGTGCTGATTCTGAACATCACTCTCCAAATGCTAAAAACGGAAGTGTTTAGAGGAGAAACAAATCCTGTGGAAGTTCTGGAAAGCCTACTTAAATGTAGTACCTATCTGTGCATCAAAACAGAGCAGTACCTTGCTTATAAGCCAAGTATTTTAGACCACCAACTAATTAGGAAGTGCTTTTATTATTAAGACAACACTATTTCCAATACAGTTTTTCCACCAGATCCATTCCACTTCACAGAATAGGCTGCACTTAGCATCATCCACTTTAATCAGCTGTTGCTACTATAAAAAATTCAAACCTCTTGGTAATCATGAAAAATAAACATATAAAAAGAACAAAGTGAGGGTAAAATACATCAAATTAATTTTCACAAGCATCTCATTCAGCAGGAAGAGCAGAATTAGGTACATTATGCCAGTTTTTCATACAGGCATTGATTGGTAAATGTTAACATTTTCTAAGGTGCACTGACTGTGGGTGTTTGACTTGAGACTCGTGACTGTGCTTTTGCAGCAGACATTTCTAGAGCTGCAAGTGCCTGCAGATGTGTCAGTTTGCATTTGAAAGAGTAAAATGTAGCAAATTATTTTGGTCAGGGGTTTTGTCACAGACTCAACTCTGGTAAGAGAGAAACCTCAAGAACTGATTTCTCAGAATATTCATGGTTGGAAGGGACCTTTGAGGTCATTCAGTCCAACCACAAAAAAAACCCAACCAAAAAAACCCAACTAAAACACCACCACACTACACAGATACAAACGAATGATCTCGGGCACTACAGCATGCCCTGAAGTGCCATGTCTACATGTTTCTTAAATACCTCTGGGGATGGTGACTCCACCACCTCCCTGGGCAGGCTGCTCCAGTGCCTGACCACCCTCTCAGGAAAGTAATTCTTCCTCATATCTCATCTAATCCTCCCCTGCCGCAACTTCAGACCATTTCCTCTGCTCCTGGCATTATTCCCTTGGGAGAAGAGGCCAACCCCCCACCTCTCTACAACCTCCTTTCAGGGAGTTGTAGAGGGCAATGAGGTCCCCCATCAGCCTCCTCTTCTCCAAACTAAACATGCCCAGTTCCCTCAGCCTCTCCTCATATGATTTGTTCTCTAGGCCCCTCACCAGCTTGGTGGCTCTCCTCTGGACGAGCTCCAGCACTTCCAATGTCCTTCCTGTAGTGAGGGGCCCAGAACTGAACCCAGCCCTCAAGGTGGGGCCTCACCAGTGCCCAGTACAGAGGCACCATCACTGCCCTACTCCTGCTGGCCATGTTGTTCCTGATACAGGCCAGGATGCCGTTTGGCCTTCTTGGCCACCTGGGCACACTGCTGGCTCATGTTCAGCCGGCTGTCCACCAACACCCCCAGGGCCTTTTCTGCTGGGCAGCTTTCCAGCCACTCTTCCCCAAGCCTGTAGCGTTGCCTGGGGTTGTTGTGACCAAAATGCAGGACCCGGCACTTGGCCTTATTAAACCTCACCTCACTGGCCTTGGCCCATTGATCCAACCTGTCCAGATCCCTCTGTAGAACCTTCCGACCCTCAAGCAGATCAACACTCCCACCCAGTTTGGTGTCATCTGCAAACTTACTGAGGGTGCACTCAATCCCCTTATCCAGATCATCAATAAAAATACTAAACAAGACTGGCCCCAAAACTGAGCCCTGAGGGACACCACTGGTGACCGGTCTCCAACAAGATTTCATCCCATTAATCACAACTCTCTGGGCACGGCTATCCAACCAGTTTTTTACCCAGTGAAGAGTGCACTTGTCTATGCCATGATTTGTCAGCTTTTCCAGAACGCCGTGGGGGACGGTGTCAAAGGCCTTACCAAAGTCCAGGTAGACAACATCCACAGCCTTCCTTGCATCAAGAAGGCGGGTCGTATGGTCAGAGAAAGAGATCAAGTTGGTTAAGCAGGACCTCCTTTTCCTAAACCCGTGCTGGCTGGCCCTGATCCTTTGCCTGCCCTGCACTTGCTGTGCGAGCTCACTCAAGATGATCCTCTCCATGATCTTTCCCGGTAGCAAGGTCAGGTCCTAATTTTTATTCTGTATAGCTTAACAGGATCTCTGTACTCCTCCTGAGTTGCCAGTCCCTTCATCCAAAGGTGGTAAACCCTCATTTTTTCCCTAAGAGATATCAAAAGCTCTTTGTTCAACCAGGCTGGCCATTTTCCGGGGCCTTTAATTTTGCGCCTCATGAGGACAGCTTGCTCCTGGGCGTGCGAGCTCACTCAAGATGATCCTCTCCATGATCTTTCCTCGTACTGAGGTCAGGCTGACAGGCCTGTAGTTGCCCGGATCCTCCTTCCAACTCCTCCTGAGTTGCCAGTCCCTTCATCCAAAGGTGGTAAACCCTCATTTTTTCCCTAAGAGATATCAAAAGCTCTTTGTTCAACCAGGCTGGCCATTTTCCGGGGCCTTTAATTTTGCGCCTCATGAGGACAGCTTGCTCCTGGGCCTTTAAGATTTAAATGACAATGCTTTGCTAACACTAAGAGGACAGACTTCATTGCTCCTTGCATGTCAGAGATAATAAGCACTTAGAATATCTGCAAATGAAGCGCCACCTCCATTGGGTAGGGAAGACAGAAAACAAGCCCATACCAATGGCCACATGAAAGAATTCTGAAGGGGTTCATCACTGCGTGAGAACATGGCTGTTCTAGCTTACAGATAACAAAAAAAGGGATACTGCTGCATACCATCTCCCTCCAACACCCCCTACCAGCAGCACCTCTGTTCTCATCTACCTTGGGTACATGCAGGCACACAGCCTCCTGCTCCCGAGGGAGTCTGTTTGACAGCTGGGCAACTCCCGTCCTCTCACAGGATTCTACCATCTCTCTCCACTCAGTTTTTCCAATTCATCATAGATCACAATTTCCATCAGCACATTTTATAAAGCAAATGAGGAAAACAAAACTAAGTGACCCAAACTTCTGTCTTTGATAACTTCCAGAATTATATACTGCCATCTCCCCAGTACTACAGCAAACATTCTTAAATAATGCAAGAGGCTGCCTGCAGTGACTCAATACAAGCCTGATCTTCCAGGTCTTTGTTTTTAGAAAAACAAAGATTGTCAGTACATGTAAATATGCAATATGTTTCCTCCACAAAACTGAAGATAACCTGGCAGCCTATCTGTGACCTCCTTGGTCAGGTTTCCCAGATCCATTAAAGGAACAATCACTAAACTACACTACCACTGTTTTAAATACTACAAACTTAAACCCCACTTACTAGGGTTTCCTAGTCTACAGAATGAAAAAAACAACCTTATTTTTAATAACCACCAGTTACTCCTCATTCCGATTCACACTATAATAAGACCTGGAGCTTCTCCTCCAGCAACAGGCCTGTCTGTGGTGTTTGGAGCAGCCTGCAGTCACACAGCACATTGGAGTTGCTCTCATCACAGAAATTTGATTCTTTTTGGCCAAATTCACTCATATTCAGGACAATAAGTACTGAGTAAGAAACAAGGCCATTTGTTTTCAAGTCCTGTTTATTTCAAACTTTGTCAATAATCCATCCCATTTTAGACTTTTTGTTTTGTTTTGTTTTTTCCTTCATTTGGGTGTGGTTTTTTTTAAAATAATATTTAAGACAAAAAATCCACAGCTTGAAATCATCCAGCAATATCCAGTCAGTCACTTAAATGACAAATCAGACACTTATTAAATCGAAGTGTCTTTACTAAACCTAGAATGCTGACTGATGCTTCTCTTATTCTGTTAGTTTCTAACAAGAAGTTTCCAACAAGAACAACAGCTGAACGAAAGTTGAGAGGCTACAGAATGAAGAGTACTAAGATATTTTAAATTAGAATTGTTGAAAAATGTTGTCATCCTCCCAACATTCCATTACCAAGAAGGATGCCAGTTTATCCCTCAAAGTTACTCCATGGAACATAAGACTTATTTTGGTTTTTTCTTCCATGTCATTTTAGTTTGAAGAAAATATTTTATCATTACAAAGATACTTCATTTCTTATGTCATCACAAAAATTTCCTACCACTAACCTAACCCTTCTACTATTTTTTTAGTAAGACATCATGTTAATACTCCTTAAAAAAGGGGGCACCCAGTCTCTTATCTAGGGAGACTTACTCTCCTTTCAGGAGCTAGAGATGTACCATGAACCAGCCCAAAGCAATTTGGTTTCAGCTCACAGAGTGTAAATTCCCCATAGCTGAGTTGGGACAATACACTCTCAAGTCTGTGAACGCAGGCTACTCTTCTGTAGCACATCACTTTATTTGCACTTAATAATGCTGCTATAGCTGCAACAATTTGGCAGCTGCTGTCTCAAGTTTTAACAAAAGAACATGTCTTATGTCAAAAGTATTTCATTAAGCGTAGAAGACCATCCAGTCCCCCTCCCTGGGCAGGGATACCTCCCACCAGACCAGGTTGCTCCAAGCCCCCTCCAACCTGGCCTTGAACCCCTTCAGGGATGGGGCAGCCACAGCTTCTCTGAGCAGCCTGGGCTCTCACCACCCTCACAGCAAAGAATTTCTTCTCCAGATCTCATCTCTATCTCCCCTCTTGCATTCTGAAGCCATTACCCCTCATCCTATCAATACATGCCCTTCTACAAAGTCCCTCTCTGGCTTTCTTGTTAGCCCCTTTCAGATACTGGAAAGCTGCTATAAAGTGTCCAAGGAGCCTTCTGTTCTCCAGACTGAACCCTCTGAGTGCGGCCATCCAGCCAGTTCCTCATCCACCAAGTGGTCCATCCATCAAATCTGTGTCTCTCCACTTTAGAGATCAGGATGTCATATGGGACAGTATCAGACGCTTAGTGTAAGTCCAGATAGGTGACATCTGTTGCTCTTCCCTTATCCAGCAATGCTGTAATCCCGTCACCAAATGTGTCAGGCATGACTCGCCGGTGGTGCACCCATGCTGGCTGTCACCGATCACCTTATATTCCACATGTCACAGCAGAGCTTCCAGGAGGATCTGCTCCATGATCTTGCCAGGCACAGAGGTGAGAGTGACTAGCCTCTACTTCCTCAGGTTTTCCTTTTTTCCCCTTTTTGAAAGGGGGGGGTTACATTTCTCCTTTTCCAGTCAGTGGGAACTTCACCAGACTGCCACAACTTTTCAAATATAATGGAAAGTGGCTTAGCAACTTCATCCACCAGCTTGCTCGAGACCCATGGATGGATTTCATCAGGTCCCATGGATTTATGCACCTTCAGGTTCCCTAGATTGTCTCAAAACTGATCTTCGCCTACAGTGGGCACTTCTTCATTCTCACAGTCCCCGCCTTTGCCATCTGTAACTCAGGCAGTGTGGTTAGAGGCCTTGCTGGTGAAGACTGAAGCAGAAAAATTCACTGAGTACCTCAGTCTTCTCCTTATCCTGAGTGACCAGGTCTCCCATTTCCTTCTGGAGAGGGCCCACATCTTCCTTTAATCACTGTCCTATAGAAGCTTTTCTCGTTGCCCTTGGTGTCCTTGGCCAGATTTAATTCTATCAGAGCTTGCCTAACCTGGTTCCCGGCTGCTTGGACAGTTTCTCTGTATTCCTCCCATCCTACCTGTCCTTACTTCCACCCTCTGTATATATACATGTATGTATGTACACATACACACACATATATATGTACGTTATTGTCTATAGGTAGAAGTAGCTCACTAGCCTTAACTTCTAGGAGCTCAGCAATTTAACTTCCAAGCCTGGACCCAGCCATTCCAATCTCTTCTGGTTCCTGGAAAGGTATGACTATACATTAGCCTCTACTTCCTCAGGTTTTCCTTTTTTCCCCTTTTTGAAAGGGGGGGGTTACATTTCTCCTTTTCCAGTCAGTGGGAACTTCACCAGACTGCCACAACTTTTCAAATATAATGGAAAGTGGCTTAGCAACTTCATCCACCAGCTTGCTCGAGACCCATGGATGGATTTCATCAGGTCCCATGGATTTATGCACCTTCAGGTTCCCTAGATTGTCTCAAAACTGATCTTCGCCTACAGTGGGCACTTCTTCATTCTCACAGTCCCCGCCTTTGCCATCTGTAACTCAGGCAGTGTGGTTAGAGGCCTTGCTGGTGAAGACTGAAGCAGAAAAATTCACTGAGTACCTCAGTCTTCTCCTTATCCTGAGTGACCAGGTCTCCCATTTCCTTCTGGAGAGGGCCCACATCTTCCTTTAATCACTGTCCTATAGAAGCTTTTCTCGTTGCCCTTGGTGTCCTTGGCCAGATTTAATTCTATCAGAGCTTGCCTAACCTGGTTCCCGGCTGCTTGGACAGTTTCTCTGTATTCCTCCCATCCTACCTGTCCTTACTTCCACCCTCTGTATATATACATGTATGTATGTACACATACACACACATATATATGTACGTTATTGTCTATAGGTAGAAGTAGCTCACTAGCCTTAACTTCTAGGAGCTCAGCAATTTAACTTCCAAGCCTGGACCCAGCCATTCCAATCTCTTCTGGTTCCTGGAAAGGTATGACTATACATTGTCTAATCTTCCAAAAGAAATTCTTCCTCTCCAAGCCTCCCCAAGCTCCTCACTCATATCCACTGTTTTGTAACATTTCCTACTCTGAACTTGAAATTTCACTTAACCTTTATTTCTTTTACTAGTTAATTCCCGCTTCCCCCTGCTGGGTTTTCAGTCATTGCCACCACTCATTCTCCAACAGCTGCCATTCTTTGAGCTCTTCATCTTTCACCTTTTATCCATCTTTTTTCCCCACTTATTGTTAGACCTGATAACTTTCTACCTGAGGAAGACATGAACATAAAATAAAATTCTCTCCTTCTGAAAACAAAGGTGTTTTAGAAGTCTCAGATTTCAGCAATTCTGGAAAGAGTGTTAGCTACACAATAGCTGCGACCAAGCATGCAAGAAACATTACATGCAAATCCTCATTTCGCCAGTTATTTACATCAACTTTCTGACCTGAAGAGTGTGGCTTCAGGTCCCATTAAGTCTTTGTAAACCATACAGTTTTAAGATACTGCTCTGATGCTTAGTGGCTTCATTTTCCCATAAAAAGTTTAAGTGATTACCATAATTTAATTCAATCCATCCATCTGTGTTCTAGCTTTTAGATTTGATGGGCAATTAAAGACTTTTCTGAGAATCTAGGTAAAACAGATACAGCTACAATTCACAACTCTTAAATGAAAACTAAAATATGAATGCAATCCAACGTGATTTCTATGTCATTCATCATTAGTAGCTAATCCAATCAAAAAGAGTATTGCAAGTTACCCATTTATCCCCAATCCCTCCAGTTCACAGACTATACCAGCAGTTAATAGAAATGTTCTTTACTACTGCAGTCTGCAACAGACCATTTCTCTTTTGGAATTCTGCTGCAAGAGTTTCACTCTTCAGCTTTAGTCCTTAGTATTGCAGAAATAAATTCTAAAATGCTTGATAAACATACATTAAAAAGTGACTGTGGATTACTAACCTCCTTAATGGAGTCTTCATTAGGCAGCATAGAACACACACATGTGATGTAGGCTTGACGAAAAGATGAAACATTTGCAATTTCTGTAGAGTCTGCACACAATTTTGACAAGAAAGTAGCTTGTGGGATGCAGTTTGACTTCATCAAATGTTTTATTCGCATCTGCAGAAAGGAAGGCCCTTCTCGCGTAATCAATTTATTAGCTAGGAAAAGAAAAAAGCCTTTGAGAATACAGAAATTTACAGCTGACACTTAAGTGAAACTGTCTTACTGCATCTGCATTCACACTTTATTACAAACTTGCATAAGTATGGTCAGCTTTCTTAGGAAACTCTAGGTATAATAAAAAGTGACAGCAATGAATGGAATATTTATAAGTTATTTTAAGTTCAGACCAACTGTGTAGGGACAAGAATGCTGGGCTATAGAAAATAGACACACACCACCCCTCCACCACCCTCAACCAAAAGATAGCATCCATTAAGGCAGTAAGTGTGCCCCAGCAGTGACTAAAGGACACTTACCAGACCATATAGCATTTTGAACAAGATACCAGTAGTTTAGCTGAGATTCAAAGTCTTCAACTTTTAGTTGTAGCTTCGTATTCCAAAGAATCAAAATTATTTCAAACAAAGCATTACACACTTTTCAACTGGAGATATTTCCACCCAAGTTGTTAAAATCCCACATAATGCCAAAATACACAAAGTGAAGATGAGGATGAAAACCTTATCTTTGTGGTACTTTAGAAGAATTGTGTTTAATTATGCTCTAGATCAACCTAATGTAACAGATCATTACAATACTTGATGAACTAATTCAATATTAAAAATTTACTGTCAGCTACAAAATACAGTATTTTGTAAATATATATAAAAATATATTTCTGTAAGTAGTTAGCAAAATTGACTTAGTCTGTGATTCTATGGTAAGTCCTGGGAAGAGAATCAAAATAAATTTGTGACATTTTTAATCTGATTATCTCAAGCTGGAAGGCACCCATAAGGATCATTGAGTCCAACTCCCTACTCCTTACTCCTTGTAGAACTACCTGACACTTAACCATTTTACTAAGAGCATTGTCCAGATGCTCCCTGAACTGTGACAGGTTTAGTGCGCTGACCACTTCCCTGAGGAGCCTGTTCCAGGGACCAACCACCCTCTCAGTGAAGAACCTTTTCTTCATGTCCAATCTGACACAGCTTCATTCCATGTCCTCAACACCGGTCTCCAAAGACAAGAGATCAGCATCTCCTCCCTTCAGGAAGGTGCAGACTGCGATGAAGGCACCCATCAGCCTCCTCTTCTCCAAGCTGAACAAACCAAGCAGCCTTAGATGCTCTTCGAGGTCTTTCACTATCTTGGTCACCCTCCTCTCGAAACACACTATTAGTTTGAGGTCCGTCTTCTATTGAGGTGCCCAAAACTGCACAGAGGACTTGAGATATGACCTCCTGATCTCCTCCCTCAATTGGCTTGCAATGCTCTGCCTGATGCAGCCCAGAGCACACTGTTGACTCCTATTCAACTTGCCGTCAACCCCAAATCCCCAGATCTCTTTCTCTAGGGCTGCTCTCCAGCCTCTTGTCCCCCAACTTGTACATCTAACTAGGATTACCCCATCCCAGCACTTGCTCTTGTTAAGTTTCATAGGGTTGGTGATTGCTCAGCTCTCTGTCTCTCCAGATCTCTGTAAGGCCTTTCTATCTTTGAGGGAGCCCACAGCTCCTCCTAATGTACTATCATTGGCAAACTAACTTAATGTACATTTGACTCCTGCACCCAGATGAATGTTATAAAAACATTAAAGAGCACTGGCCCTAAAATTGACCAATAAAATTTTCATGCTTTCTGCACTTAAATTATTGTCCACACAGTAAAAGAACATGACACTACACTAGTTGGCAGAAGGCTTACAATGTGCACCTAAACAGAAACTCCAAGTACATATTACATGCTTGTAGGGAGTCTCACTAATACTCTTGCAGAAGTTTGCTTAGTGGTCCATTAGAGATAATTTTAAGATTCAAGTCTATGATATTAGTTTCCATCTTTCATAGGAAGAACCTCTGTGCAGCAAGCTCTTGACATAGCTGACAGTGACACCTCACCTTACAGCAGCTTCAGTGGAGAAGGTAAAAAAAGCTGGCTGACCAAGCCAGAATCTGCAGTAAGATCTCCAGCTGCTAGAAAACAAACAACTACCTCTTACATATTACATCTGTGTAAGATATTGTGCTTGAAAATTTATCAAGGAAAACTAACAATGCTGCTATATCCATCCTGTGTGATATAAGAGACCGCTAACATAACAAGGTGGCTACAAGATTACAGCTGAGGAGAACTCTCAGAAGGCTTGCTTACTCAATCTCAGAAACAAGTAATCTATCCAGGTGAAGCACACTGTTCCTGGGCATGTCAGTAGCGGATTTTAGCATCCACAAGCATTCAGAGCAGTTTGTAGTCCCTGTTTCTGCAGCTCTTGGCTGACAGAAGTATTAAAAAAAATATATTTCAGGTCCATGAGAAGAATAAAAAAAAATACTAGGAAAGTAAGATATTGTATTTACCTGCTCTAAGAATTATTTATATTCCTCATTTTTCACTCCACAGCTAGATACACGTTCAAATTGCTTAAATGAAGTTTTTACTGACATGTCAGAGCCAGTTAGTCAAGACACTGGAAGTGTTTTAAGAGTACCTGCAGTCAGCCAGACAAATTAAATATTTTCAGCTTAACAGTCACATTTTTATCTTTAAGCACAAATGAGAAGCTTACTAATTAATTACAGGAGATAGACTCACTGTTGGTATGGACAAGGGGGTCTCAACTTTCTGCAATCTTTGGGAGTGGGCAGTAAGCCTGTGCGCCCCCTCCTCACCCAAGGGTGGCCCACCCCTCCCTGCCTGGGCCGGGGGAGGGGGGGCAATGAACTCTGCCGGGGGGAGCAAACGACAAACTGAGCTCCTCAGCCATGCATCTGTAAGTGATGAAGGGAGGAGTGAAAGCCAGATACCTGACTAGTGATTTATTCCCATCTTAGCAATTGGTTTTCCTTTGAAGTGTCTATTCTTTTCCAGCAGCCTGCAACAACCTCATTTGCCCTGAGAAGGGAGCAAAACCTGATTTTGCTGCCTATTCCTCAGAACAGTTGTTTTCCCCTTTTGCACTCAATCCTACCTGTGTTATGTTTCCAAACATGTCCATTAACATATTGTCTTGTTCCTTTTCTTCCTAGACCTCCTGCTGTTGTCTGTTCTGTCCCCATGTTCTACCAAGCACCTCAGGACTAGAACTGCTTGCTATAAAAATCCATGCAAAGACACTTTGCATTCCTTCTCTCCTCCAAACCCTTCAGAGCAGTAAAGGGTCAGTGCAGTTTCAAACTCCACACATATGTAATGGGATCTCTTCTCCCAGGATCAAAAAGTAAGGATAAGAGATTTCCCTTCTCACCCAAACCACCTGGCAATATAAGATGAATTTAAGTTATACCCCAATATTGTGAATATAGCCTTTATAAAGCATGAATGGCATTAAGATATGAAAAGACTCTGCAGCAACCATGAGAAATGTTCAAGAGAAACAAGCATTTTTGGTGAGCATTTTCATTGAAAGTACCTCTGGAACAGGACAACAATGTGCTGAAGTCCACTCAAGTATGTTAAGTATGTACGAACAACCTTGAGGTCTGTATATTTTACAGTAGCAGGATGGTGGAGAGTTCTCCCAGCTTTCCTACAAATCAACTCCTGTCTACAGAGACATACCAAGATGTTGGTATTCATCTGCTGCACACAGCAACAAGTTCCCCCTAACCCTTTTGGTCTTCCTGAATGATATATTTGTTAAGCCCAAAAAAAAAAGTATCTTGAAATAAGAGTATTAAAGCTAGCTTTCTTTAGAATAGAAGAACTTTGGAGGTCAAGACTGCTGAATAGCATCTATTATGTTCACTTTGGGATGCTCATATCATTTAGCCATCTAAAAGGCATAAGCAGCAATGATGTTTTTTGCAGCCCTTTTCTCAAGCAAATATTCACGCCCAAAGCAACCACCTTGAGGCAGCTGACAGTACAAAACAACAACCATACTAGAATAAAAAAGAAATTTAAAAAATTAAGAACTTTAACCAAGAGACAAGAACACATCATATTTTCAGAATCTTCAATTCAAGTAATGATCTGATGATCATTAACATGAACTATCATTTCACAAAACAAGCTCCAGCTGAGCTCCTCTCCCATCTGACTTACCAGGGGCCCACAGCAGCAAAAACTAGGAATGCTTTTCAGTCACGCATCACAAAAAACCAAAAAGCATGAAATATAAGCTCTTCAAAGAAACTAAGTTTTAGATGACTGAAATAGCATTCGTTTACAACACTTCAGAAGACACTCTGCAACACTGTTGTACTGAAGGATAAAATGGCAGTTTGACTAAAACAACTGAAAAAAACTATTGTGCTAGAGCTCTATTTCTGCAGCCCTTCCTCACACGCCAAGCAGCAGAATTGTCATCCCTGCTGTGACCTGTAGAAACTGCATTTTGATTCCTGCTGTTTCTATCAAATGGAGCCTGGCAGTCAGAAGAGAACATCACACAGATCAAAGTAGTGACATGAGTAGAAGGAAGACAAACTTAGTAACTAATCAGTGACTTATGAACTCCTATTACAGCTACAAGCATTTACTTGACATGATTCTGAAGGTAAAAATCCATGAAGTTAAACCACTAGACATCTAGAGAAAGTCACTTAATCCCAGCTCCAGCCATGTCCTATACAAGGCCAAAAGAGTAATTCCAGCTACCCAGACAGACTTACTCCCAGCCAAACAATACAAAGCAGCGTCTGACTCCCTGGTGCAGAGAAAAGGAGGGACTGAACAAAGAATTTGAAGTAAAACACAACCAATAAGATTTTACTAATCATAACGTGGTATGATACAGCTTCATGGATTATTTGGTATTTCAGCAATAACTTCTATAGTCACTGAATTACACTTGTCTGATGATGTCAAGAAGATAAACAACTTACATTGCAAGCACAATTCAGAAGTTAAAAGATTTTCCATGCCATAATTTGTTGGAATAGAGAGCAGGATTTCAAGTTTTCATTTTGCCGTGCACCAGAGTGCAGGGTATATAAATCTGGCCCATTCACCTTGCCTTCTCAGAGAAGAGTAAACTTTATGTATGCCCTCAGTCTACTTCTCTCCCTCCAACATTTTAAGAGTTCTGTGACTCACAGTGACTCACAATATGCATTTTTTTGATTTCTTTGAAATGTTATTGAATAGCTAGCAACAGTTACAGGAGGCTGAATCCTATGCCCTACGTTCTTTCCCAGCCTTACGTTCTCTCCTACAACCCCCTGCAAATTTCACTGAATTTCACTGAATTTCTAGAGTTGGAAGGGACCATAGAGATCATCTAGTCCAACTCCCCTGCTGAAGCAGGATTGCCCAGAGCTAGAGCATGTTACTCAGGACTGCATCCAGGCGGGTTTTGAAAATCTCCAAGGAAGGGGACTCCACAACCTCCCTGGGCAGCCTGTTCCAGGGCTCTGTCACCCTCACCGTGAAGAAGTTTCTCCTCATATTTGAGTGGAACCTCTTATGTTCCAACTTGTGCCCGTTGCCCCTCGTCCTCTCACTGGGAACCACTGAAAAGAGTCTGGCTCCCTCCTCCTTCAACCCTCCCTTGAGATACTTGTAGGCGTTGATAAGGTCTCCCCTCAGCCTTCTCTTCTCCAGACTAAAGAGTCCCAGCTCTCTCAGTCTCTCCTCATAAGGGAGATGCTCCAATCCTTGAATCATCTTTGTAGCCCTACGCTGGACTCTTTCCAGTAGTTCCCTGTCCCTCTTGAACTGGGGAGCCCAGAACTGGACACAGTACTCCAGTTGTGGCCTCACCAGTGCAGAGTAGAGGGGGAGAATGACTTCCCTTGACCTGCTGGTTACACTCTTCCCTATACAACCCAAGATACCATTGGCCTTCCTGGCCTATCTTCACAATCTCCTCAATATGCTCTTAACCTCTCAAGAGGCTAAGAAGAACAAACCCAAGCAAATAAAAGAACCCTCTATCCTCTGTAATGTAAGGGCACAGAATTATTTAACTACTGAAGCATTAGAGTGTTTGTAGCTATTAAATACTCCCATTTCCACTCTTGCTCTTTTCCCATTTCTGTTACTAATACCGCTACTGCTTTGATCTACCACTTTGACAGTATTTGCTGCAAACCTGAACAGAAGGAAGAGGAGAACACTCATGTGATGCTCTTGCTCTCTTTCTACATCAACACATACTACACGAGCTCTGCTACTACTTAATGTTCTCTGCATTGTCACTTGGAACCACTCAACCAATATTAAAACATCTTGCTTGGGTGCTAAGATGACACATTCAGGTAGCTTGGAAACCTGGTAGAAAGATCGTTTAGATATTTTTAGGCAGCTACAATGCATGTCAATAGGCCACAAAGATGACACTTTTCTCAAGTCTATCTGCTCTTCGATACTCTAAAAGCAAGGAAAAAACCAAACCAAGGTTTCCACAACTGTCACAAAAGCAAGATGCTCACTAAGAAGCAATGTTTTAGGCAGATACTTGGCTTCTTAGAACCTCCCTTTATTTAGGATGTCTAACTCTTTACCTTATGATTTACTTGAGAAACGTTCCTTTGACAGACTGGTCTAACAAGATACTCGAAAGTCACATTCAGACTGTTTAAGCATCCCTGTGGACTACTCCAGACTATGTGAGAAAGCACTTGTGTGTTACAAAATTTCCAGAAGAGCTCCAATGAATGTCCTGTTGCCTCTGCTTGCATCACATGAAAGAAACACCAATGAGGACAACTCTTCTGTGTATGTATTCAGATCTAGTTAAACAAACAAATATGTACTGAATAAAGAATGTGAAGAAATCATTAGTTTCAAGGTTGCCAAGTGACCTGAGAAACAGGAACCTACACTCAGTCCCATTCAACAGGGTCAGAGATATGTCAGTCGATCTGTGTCTGCAGAAACTGCAGCTCAAATTAAAAGCCAAAGCACTGAACAAACTAGTTTTATCCTATTAGTGCTGAAGCCAAGAGGTAGTCTGAACCACGTCAAGGTCCTCCTGCACAGGAACAAGGAAGTATAGCAGCGTTTAGCATTATAGCCATTGATAAAACCAGTCCCATGTGTAAGAAGCAAATTAATCTAAAAAGGAGCGCACACAGGATCTGAGGAAATCGCTCCTACTGAAATTCACACCAGTTCTCCAGAGCAGCTCTTGGCTTGCCACAGGTAAAGGATGTTTGCAAAGCTAGCTAACCATTAGCCCTCACTGGCATACCACACTCCAAGTAAGGGATTCTTCAATAGCTGAATGTTTTTAGTAATACGGACCAAATTTTGAAATGCAAGTCCTTTGGAGTAGAAATACACGAAGAGCAGCAACCATGCAACTGGACAGTCTAATAATACTATAAATGAGAGACTCCAAGACAGGATGTTAGTATGGAATGCAATTCTTTTCAAGACATGTTGGAGATGGAATTAAGTGCTGTTTGGAGTTCAAATGTTTCTGCCATACTGTTGAATACCTGAAGTGAAGACTAGCAAAGATTGCAGCCCACCCTTTTTTTTTAATGTTTTCTAGCACAGGGAAGCAACATATCCTCTCAAATAACCTTAGCATGTTTCTCAATTATTAAAAAGTACTAACTTAACACAACTCAAAGAGAGGCTACCCAAAGCCAGAAAGAAGGATTCTGCTATGGAAGAAAGCTTGACTTGAAATCCCTTTTTGTGCTCCTTGTTTTTTTAAGAAAATATCTTAAGTTCTTCTTCCCCTCTATATTATTTTTAATTTTATATCGCAACTGAGATAAACTGCCATCTGATGTACTGTTAATGGAACAGTTAAAAGAAATACTTGCAAGTACTTAATGGTACCACTACTAGATATGAAAAAGTTGCATTGAATAAAAGAAGAGGACTTAAGAGAAGACATTCAAAAATTATATAAAGTGACACTAAAGTCTCCTTTTCCTCACCTCTGAACATTTTCTGATTCAAGATCTTACTTCCATAGTCTAAACACAATGAGCTTCCCAGCCCAGAGCTTAATAACAGGAAACCCATACACTCATATCAACCCTCCATGAGCCTCTGAAAGGCATGAACATGCACGATTCTTCCTTGTAAAGCATTCAGGAAAACATTTAAAAGCATAGAGTTATGAAGAAAAAAACACCTCAGGGAGCAAAATTTCAGTATTTTTATGATGGAAAAAGGAAATAATTCTGTTGAAAAATGGAATTTCAAAATATTCAAGCCGGTGGATAGTATAGCCCACAGCGATGCATTAGCAAGGACACATTATTCAGAGTGCCAATGAGACAGCTCTATCATAAATATCATTTAGCAACATATAAATACTACTGTACAATGTAATTCAAAATACAACTCTGTTCTGACTTCAAATCACTGATTCCTCACCAAAACTGCACCAAATAATTTCTTAATAATCATGTATCATCTCTGAAAATCACATTCTTACCTTCCTCAGTTTCTACTGGTTGCTGGGATAGAATTTTAAGAAGAACTGGATTTTTCCATACTCCTTCCCTTGTGATATCCACCAATACTTGGAGGTTGTTATTTCCAAATTCCAGTAAAGCATCATGTGAATCCTACAAAATGTAAAAAAAAATGTCATTACAAATCTTTGCTAAAAAGTAAAGCAATGCTTTTTTACATTACCTGTCCTAATATTTGACTGTATTCTAATAAATTCATACATTTCTTCTAAATTGTTACTGTTTTGACATGTTTGCACTGGGATTTTAACAGCACATTCTTTCACTTGTCTAATCCTACAGCAAAACTTCCCAATTTCAAAGTACTTAAAGTTAACTGAAATGGCTTAACTCAAAAGGCCTATTCCACACTTGTAACTCTTCTGGAATTTTTATGTTTTGCCATGTATATGCATACATAAAGAATTAGAGAAATCATTGTATAAAAGACAAAGGATGATTTTGTATCAAAGCATTTAGTGCCATTTAAGAAGTTGGAATGAGGATTCAAAATGAGTAACAAAATGCTGAGACTGTAAAATTTTACATTTAGTGTTAACACTACCGAGCTGAGCCAGTCATTTCACTTCTCTGAGAATTATTTAAGCCATCACTCACCAGCCAGAGGAAAGTGAGAGCAGGGGGGAAACATGCTTAAGCTACATAAGGAGCAGCGCTATGAGAGATGCTCAGAAATTACTCTCATCTGCCCAAAGAGGTAGGGGTCATATGAAGATGCAGGTTTCCTGGTGGTTAGAGATGCAAGAAGTTTCAGGAAACTTCAAAGAGAAAGCAGAGAAAGCAGTGACTGCTGTACAACACTCACAGTCCAGACCAAACTGGAACATGAATAATTTCTTTTATTAAGATGAAAACATCCTTCTACTGGGTACAGATACACCATTTCCTTAGAAACTAATTCTTGTCCAGAGCATTTACTCTAACAACCAGTGATTTCTGATCCTGACAGTTTTGATGCTGTGAAGGCTGACCCAGAGACCCTGCACACCAAACAGGTCTACAGCTGAAGCTTATCCATCAAACCTGCATACACAGCACAGCGCTTAAAGTGACCAAGGAGCTACCACTTTTAATTTTAGAAATCCGAGGAGTGAAGGAAGGAAAAAAAAAAAATCCCAGGTGTTACACATGAGAAGAAGACTAAGAGACTAACACCAAAGAAAAAGCAAAGATTCTAGCACTTCATGTCCCTAGCAGGAAAACCAATATAGGGCAACTTGCGCTGAAAAAATTTTAAATATCACCACACAGAATTTCCTTACACTGATAAACTGAAGCCAACTAACAGTAAGCAATTTGTGGCTACATGTTCAGTAAAAATGCTTCTCACATGAGTCACAACACATCTTAAGAACTAGTTTCATAGCTGCCTGAGTTACCTTCTACAACCAAGTGAATCTGTCATGAAAATACCCAAGACTTTCCCATTAACATTGAAAGGCATCTTTGCATTAGATAGATGCCCCTTAATAAATTAGATATTGATGTTTAACCTCAGCTGGCAGCTAGGACCATGTAGCTGCTTCCTCCCTCCCCTGGTTGGGATGGGGAAGAGAATCAGAGGAGAAGAAGTGAGAGAACTTGTGTGTTGAGATAAAGACAGTTTAGCAAGTAAAGCTAAAGCTGCGCATGCCAGCAAAGCAAAACAAAACAAGGAATTCATTCACTGCTTCCCTGCAGGGAGGTGTTCAGCCATGACCAGGAAAGCAGTAACACGTAACACTGACTTGGCAAGAAATGCCATCACTCCAAATATCCCCCCTGCTTCCTTCTTCCCCAGCTTTATGTACTGAGCATGAGGTCATACGGCATAGAATACTCCTGCAGCAGGACACTCTGCGCTGGCTTGAACTTTGCCCCTCTTGTAAGAGTTTTCTGGTGGAAAGCTACCAGACATGTGAAGAGATCACAGGGTCTTTAGTGTTGAAGGACACTGAGGATGAGGCTGATGCAGCAGCCACAGGGTTAAGATGCGAAACCAGATATCTCCAGGAGGAACAAAGTAATAATATGAATAAAACAGTGTTTCACTGGGCACCATGGTTTGGCTTAGCAACAAATGACTGACAGTCAATTGCTTTATACTATAAAAGCTTAGTCACATCTTTGACCATGAGGGATCCTAGTACCCTTCCCTCCACAGGTGTGTTTGGGATGGCTCCTGAGTGGGGATGCTCCTCAAGGTTACCCCTCAAGGCTGTGCGAAAGGCAGCAACCCATAGTTGCTCACCCACTTGGGTGAGTAATATCAACCTCTATAAGATAATTACTTATCAAGCTAGCTTTGAACTATTGATTTAGTAAACTGTAATTGTAATGAATAGTAGCTATAGCTTTTATACTGCATAGTAGATGTTCTGATTAATGTCCTTTAGCCTGAACACACCATTATCAATCAAGATAAAATTTTATTTGGTTTGTACATTTATCTCAGTTTGCCATCCTTAACCACGCAGTGCAATTCCTTTGGTCAGCTGTGCCAGCTATATCTCCTTACAACTTACTGTGCACTCCCAGCCCACCACTGCAGAGTGGTGCGAGGAGCAGAAAAGGCCTTGACTGCTTAACAACCACCAAAAAACATCAGTGTGCCATCATCCCAAATCCAAAACATAGCACTATACCAGCTGCTAGTAAGAAAGTTAACTCTATCCCAACTGAAACCAGGACAACATTCAACATCAGATGACCAATTTCAGACTAACTTTGGTGTTCAACTATCCTGCAGCAAACTGCACTCCATAGATGTCTGCACAGGAGAACGTAGATTTAACTCTTGGGCAAAGCATCTACCCACTAAGGAGTGAAGCTGCATTCCCAGCTAAAGAGTCACGAGGGAAAAATTACATTCTTGCAGTGAAGGTTTCAATTACATCAATCCATAGCTGTCATAAATAATAGTCTCAGAAGTTTCTCAAAGGATTCCTCTCAAATAACTCTAAAACCACACTATCACACATGCTACTAGTAAATCCTAAATTAAAGTGAAGCATAGCAAACATAAGGCTCTTCCCTCCTCGATCCTTGATGATGTGTATCTGCTCTAAGTATACCATAGCACGCTTCTGTACTATATGGAAAAAACTTGAGTATTACTTCTCCACTGAAATCTATGTTCAGTGGCAAGTTTATATTGATCCATGCATCCCCTGGATAGCCTGACAGTCTCTAGAATATGAAAATAAGCATATGGCGCTCTTCAAGAAGTCTATGCATCCAGACATCTTTAGGGTGTTCTTTCACTACATGCCTGAGATCACAGGCAAGTTCAGAAGTCATTCCTGGCAAGTGGGAGAGAAGAATCCAACAATCAAAAGGGGACCACAGAAAGATGCATATACTCCTACAAAGCTCATTACAGAAACCACCTTCCTGCTTGCTCATCTACTAACACACAATGAATTGTGAAATTGTAGAGAACGAGCAAGAACACTGGGGGGTGTTCTGAAATGCAGGTGGTTAGGTATCTGTAGAAGATCTTATTGTCACAAGAAGCACAGGGAAGTCAAGGAAAAGTAAAGCATATTCTGTATGTTCCCATGTAAGCTGATAACACAGCACAAAATGCATTCCTGATTCCAGAAACTAGAACTGTACTCCACAGCTAAGCTAACCTTCTTCCTACGCTAGTCATGACATTAAAGTCCTGACTAACCTTTTGAATAAAACAGGATTTCCAGCTATAACTAGTCTTTAATGTAATAGGCAAGATGGGAAAGGAGGAAGAAAGCAAAGCAAGCTATCAGTTTTCATTGTTAAAATCCTACCTAACCATTCGCCACCTTCAGCGGCAGTGACTTGGATTTGGGATATTGCAAAGAAGCTGCCACAGCTTGTCCTTAGGCTACCACCACTTGCTGCTCGTACACCAATCACACTGCAGAGCAAATACAAGGCTCAGGGGTCAACACTGAGACGATACTTTTAACATCTTTATTAATTGTCTGAATAGTGGGACAAAGCATGTTCTCTGTGAGTCCACAGTTCACGCAAAACTTGGAGAGCAGCTGGCACTGGAGGCCATTCAGAAAGACATTCACCAGGCTGCAGAACATCACTGACAGGAACCCAATGAAGTTCAACACAGGCAAATGCAAAGTGCTGCACCTGGCACAACCCTAAGTGTCAGCAGAGGCTGGTGACCAGGCAGGTTCCAGTTTGGCACAACAGACCTCTAGGGTTTGTAATTTAGGTCAGCAGTGAGCCCTTAATGCAAAGGCAGCAAACTATGCTGAAGTTTCTAAACAGAGCATAACCAGGAGGTTGGTGAAGTGTTTATTCCTCTGTGTTTGGTATTTTTGAGAGTGCACTGGAGTACAACACTCGGTTTGTAGCTCTACTGTACAACTCATTTGCCACAGTGGAGCAAGTCGAGCAAAGGCCACCACACAGCCTGCACAATCCTAGGAAGAGAGAGCGAAGAGGGAAATTTTAGTGCTGTCTTTATCTTTGCTATACTCCCCAGCAGGTAGTTTGTGTTTAGTGAGTCAATAGACAAGTCACAGAAAGAGAAATTCTCTACAGTGTGCAGGGAAACTGTATCAATGTTTCAGCACTCTCACTTTGAAAAGACGCCATGGTCTAACCCCAGCTGGCAACTGAGACCATGCAGCCCCTCACTCAGACACACACCCTCACCCCAGGGCAGGGAGGAGAAGAATCACAAAAACTCATAGGTTGATATAAAGACAGTTTAAGAGAACAATAATGGAAGAGAAACAAAAAAAATGGTAGAGGAATACACCAAATAAAGTGATGCAATAAAATTTCTCTCACCACCCGATGATCAGTTGATCAGCCCCTCCCGACAGCGGAGTGGTATATGGTACAGAATATTCCTTTGGCCAGCTTGTCCTGTTTACACTCCCTCTCAGCTATGGGAAACTGAAAATGTCCTTGACTTAATATAAACATTACTTAGCAACAACTAAACCAATACCTGTTATCAACACTATTCCCATATTAAGTCCAAAACACAGCAGCTGAAACCAGGACAAAACACTATCCAAAGCTGGTGCAATATCCATTCTTAGAGACACTTGGTGGGGTAGGATCCTAAGCAACCTGATTCAAGACAGCCCTTACTCTGAACA